GTCAAGGTTGTGGTGGGCGGGGGGGGGGAAGGAAGAGGGGTATGAATTGGTTTTTAAGGGGCTAAAGGGGTTTAAAGGGGGGGTGCCTTAGTCTGATTCTGTGTTTTTTTGTTTTTTTTTTAATCTTCAATTCTGTGAGGAATTCTGATGTGACCCTTAGACAAAAGTCGCGTGTATTGCAATTCTACAAAACATTTTTTTTTTCTGGAACTTCTTTTTTTTTTTTTTTTTTTTGCCGCTGGGGCTGCTCGTAACCGTGCCCAGGAAATGAGCAACAGTCCGGCAGAGACTGTCCAAGCATGAGAACGAACAGCAAAGATTCACCCAGAAATTCGTTCCGTTACGCATGCATAGGAAGCAATCAGAAACACAGAAGTCAAGAATCATTAAGATACGCCAGTAAACTCAGAATTCAAGAACTCCAATGTCGAACTGATTGCAAAACACCAAACCACCTCCACGCGGCCACGACCTCGACGCGTTTCGTCCGCCCCGCACGTGGACTCATCAGGAGGAAAATTCCCACCGAAATACAATCTACCCGATCTGGAGGCCATACCCATGCCTTGCCTCCATTTATACTCATCCGATTCCCATCTTCTCCCAGACGAATGAAATCAGCCCCTCAATACCCGGCCGTGCTTCCAAGTTACCCATATCATCTGCAGGGAACACCCACAGTCCTCCACGACTACTACTCAGAGGGAAACTCCCCATGCTTGGCTCCAGCCTCTCCATGTGTCCCTCCTCCTCCTTACAGCACCTCAAAACCGTTCTGGTCACACGTCGCTTATGCCAACTCACCCCACAGAGAGTCAGATCACGGTATGATCCGGACGCCGTTGGCACTGAGCACCTAGGACACAGCAAAGTCGAAACTGTACGACCAAGGTAGCAGACATCTGCCATCGCTCGCTCCAACTGCGCCGTCGCCAGCGCACGCGATCAACCGCCTCAGTGTGCAGTCGTGCTGCTGAAGAATGAGGTCGAGCCATTCGGTGGCCCTTAGTATATACCCGCCATTCCTCAGCCTGAGTAGCGTACGGCCCCCGGTGAGGCTGGCATCGGAAAAACCCGGTGCAACCTGGTACGGCACCGCTGGCAGGGATAAGTCCAATGCATGCGCATAAAAAAAAAACCGAAAAACCGACCAGGTACCTACAGCCTTAGTAGGTAGTAAAAAATGACAAAACCTGGTCATCATACGAGGCACATACACGGTGATCTGACACTGCTCCAACTGAAGGCAGACTGCGGCAACAGCCTGTCGGGAAACACAGTGACCAGCCCTCGTGTCATGCACACCCGGCCGGGCACCCGGGCGTGTATCCGGGCTCAAGTTGGGTGTTGGGTTGCCCTGACAAACAGCCTAGATGAGCAGTACTATTTGTACTTTTTTTTTCTTTTTTTTTTTAAGCCGCTAGTAGTCTAGTATCTTTGCTGCATGGGAAAATAGCAAGGCTCGGGTGGGCCTCCGTCCGACCTTTTCGGAGGCCGAAGCGAAACGACGGCTGCTGATCAGATTTAGCAATGGCAGCCGTCGTCGGGCCCGGCCTACGAATTTTTAGGAGTTTGGGAAAACTGCCACTTTTCCCTTTTTTTTTTTTTTTTTTTTTGTTGTTGTTTCTTGCGCAGGGGCCATGCTAATCTTCTCTGTATCGTTCCAATTTTAACGGATGTTCCGAAGGACACTTTTACCTATTTTCCCAACACTGGCAGAGGTACTACCGTCTTCACCCGAATAGAACGCCCGGTCATTATGGCTGTATTTGGGCCAACTTTCAGACCGGATGCAGCGACAATGACCGGGCGTTTTATTTCGGTGAAGACGGTAGTCTTGGTTTAACTGTGCCTTGTGTGCTCTATGAAGTCACGTGTTTTACGGTTTTACCTCTTATCCTCCTCCATATCTTTTTTTTTTTTTAAATCCCTTTTTTTTTTCCTTTTTTTCAAACATTTGTCAGGGCATGTTACAGGGAGCGATACGAGCCTCTCCCACTACCCCCCCTCCTCAGATGGCTCCTGTCTATTTTTGATCCATTAGATTTTGGTGGGGAGCTGCACCTCCTGGAAATGGGGTCCAGCATCCTCCATACCAACATTGCTAAACTTGTATTGATTTGCAAAGAGCCAGAGAGTGAGAAGTTGAGAGCACAAAATTTTATGATGGAAGAGCTCATTGAAGCGAAGCACCAGTCCACACGAACCTCAGTATGCGCTCGCGGCTCACCGGTATACGCGGCAAGAGTTTTTTTTTTTTTTAATGGAAGAGATCATTGAACGTCCAGATACGTCGGGAACGCAACAAAAAAACTGAAAGAAAAAAACAAAACACAGGGCCCAGTCCCCAAGGTAGTACACGCCGGTTTTTTTTTTTTTTTTCAGGTTTTTTGTTGCGTTCCGGACATTTCTGGGCGTTCCCGACAGTCCGCACTGTCTGGACCTCCAGCATGTCCGGATGGATGTCTGCAGCGTCCGGTCGGACGTTCGGCGAGTCCGGGTGTAGGTCCAGTGTAGCCATGGTGTTTTGCACAACTCCTTTAAGACAAGGGGGGGGAGGAGAAGAGAGGGGGGGAGGGGAGGGGGCAGAGAAATTGTTGTCTTTCTAGCAGAGTTCACAAGTGGTTAACAGGGACCCCCACTTTTCAGACCCAGGTTAACCCCCTCAACACTGAAAAGTGCATTTGGGGCTAGGCTACCAGAGTGGCCCGGGTCCACTTGCCAGGCCGGGCCAAACAGAAATAAAAAAATTAAAAAAATAAAAAGTAAACATAAATAAATAAATAAATAAATAAATAAATAAAAATAACATGTAGTTTTTATTTAAATTTTTATTTTAAATTTGGTAAAGAATTTCGATGTGGCCCTGAGGCAAAAGTTGTTCAGTTTAGTTTTCTGCATAACATAGTTTTTTTTCGGTTTTTTTGGATTGCTTTTTTTTTTTTTTTTTTTTGACTGGGACCTTCCCTGGTCCTTGCACGGTCAGGCCGCCCGGGAAAATAGGGTGACCCGTGCGGCGCGGCTGGTAGCCTAGATTTGGGGATAATTTTTTCAGGTTTTTTTTTTTTTTTGCCCTGTTTTATTTTTGGTCAAGGTCTGCATGTGCCAAGTTTGGTGTTTGTTGGGGTCTTGGAGATGACTGTTTTGGCCAGACCTGAAAATCCTGAAAATTCTGAAAAACTGAAATTAGTCAGGCTACGAGACGGGCCGCCCGGGTCACCTTGTTTGCCCGCTGCCCGGCCGTGCAAGCACCATAGAAGTTCCCCGCACAAAAAAAAAAAAAAAAAAAAAAAAAAAAAAAAAA